GAATGACTTCAGAACTAAACACTGAGACATAAGACTGGTGGTTCAATAATTCAGTTCAACAAATATTTATGGAACACCTGTGTGGTAGCCAGAATGGTAAGGACTAAATAGGTGAGAGAATACTTGCTTAAGGAGCCTGAAGCCTTGTGTAAGATCACAATAGGATTTGGAAAGATGTGAGGGAGGGTGGGGTGGGTGGGTCGAGGAGGGGTCAGGGCCACTCCCGTCCCCACCCCAACAGGTTTCAGGGATTAGTGAACTATGGCCCACAGGTCAAATCATTCAGATGCTTGTTTTTTCGTATGGCCATGAGCTAAGAATGGTTTTTACATTTTTCTTTTTTTGTTTTCATATTGAACTTATAGTTTTATGCAGGTTTGATTTAATATGTCAGAGAGATTCTGCAGGAAAAGGTGAAGCTGTTGGAGTCAGGGCCCTCCCAGAATCCTGAGGAAGGGGCAGGGCCCTCCCTTTACTCCTCTTCCCTCCCTGCCTACAGGGTGGGGGCTGTTCCCTGATCTGTGGTGGTGGTGGTGCTTGAAAGAGCTGTGGGGAACAGGAGACCAGACCAGGGATGAGTGTGGTAAGGGCACGAAGACCATTTACCAGAATCCACAGCTCTCTGAATCCAGACTGAAGTAAATCAGCAAACAAAAAATGAAACCGCAAGCAGCACCCACCCTTTCTCCCCAACCAGGACTATAGTGGAAAGAGAAAGGATGGCAACTTCCCCAAGGTCATGGCTTGCTCACTCCTGGCCAAGAGAATTAGTGAAGGACAGGCGCTCCCTGAAAGATGGAGGGCATAGGAAAAAGCAAAATAAAATGCCAGGGAAATTGTGTAGCAGTCCAGCCCGGGGCCAGGCCAGAGCACCACCACCACCCTGGGAGCCAGTTACTTTGCCACGGCCTTGACTGCAGCAGCTGCCTCCACTGACATGGTGCGCTGCTTGTTAATCAGGCTCTCTCCACTATCATCCATCTGCTCAGCCTCCTTGCCAAGTCTCCCTCAGAGAGTCAAAGGGCTCACCCTCCCCATCATCCTGGGGTAGTGGTAGGTACCCAGTCTGGATGCCCGTCACCCAGAGGTCGTTCCTGTTGATGTTGAGGACATCCATATTATGAGTTGATGGGCAGATAACTTCATATTTCTTCCCAGCCAGTACCAGCCAGATAGGCTTCGGCATGGCCATGCTTGTCTGTCTTAAAGGAAGACATCTCAACTCTCTCACCTGGCTGGCCTTTGGCCCCGCAGTTATTCTCACGTACTATGGAATACTGCATTGGGAAGGTGGCTGAGGTCTCTGCATCTCTTGTTGTGAAATGCAAGTCATTTGCCATTTTAAGAGTCTTCTGTGGCCGGCGCCGCGGCTCACTAGGCTAATCCTCCGCCTAGCGGCGCCGGCACATCGGGTTCTAGTCCCGGTCGGGGCGCCGGATTCTGTCCCGGTTGCCCCTCTTCCAGGCCAGCTCTCTGCTGTGGCCAGGGAGTGCAGTGGAGGATGACCCAAGTGCTTGGGCCCTGCACCCCATGGGAGACCAGGAAAAGCACCTGGCTCCTGGCTCCTGCCATTGGATCAGCGCGGTGTGCCGGCTGCAGCGCGCTGGCCGCTGCGGCCATTGGAGGGTGAACCAACGGCAAAAGGAAGACCTTTCTCTCTGTCTCTCTCTCACTGTCCACTCTGCCTGTCAAAAAAAAAAAAAAAAAAAAGAGTCTTCTGTAACAACTCCCATAAACGTGTGACTCGACCTCATCAGCTCACTGTGAACCCACCCACTGCCTCCCACTTTTTATACTTTTAAATGATTTTTTAAATCAAAGAAAAAAATAACACTGCAACTCAAATTTCAGAGTCCATACTTCTATTTTGTGGGATACTGCTTTGCTGGTTAGTTTCTGTGTTGTCCATGGCTACTTTAACATGTGATAGGGAGTGGGCTTTGTGGCACGTTGGTGAAGTCACTGCCTGGGATACCTGTATCCATATCATAAAGTTGGTTTGAGGCCCAGCTACTCTGATCCAGCTGACTGCTAATGCATCCTGGGAGTCGGTAGATGACGGCTCAAGTGCTTGGGCCCCTGCCACCCACATAGGAGACCAGGATGGAGAGTTCCTCGCTCCTTGCTTTGGCCTGACCCAGACCTGGCTGTTGCAGCCAATTGTGGAGTGAACCAATGGATAGAAGACACATCTCTCTCTTTTGCGCTGCCTTTCAAGAAAATGAAAAATGAACACACACACACACACACACACACACGCAGTGGCATTTAAGTAGTTGTGCCCAAAACCATATGGCCACAAGGCCTAAAATACTTACTGTTTGGCCCTTTACAGAATTATCCACCCTTCAGTTTTCACCCATCCTTCTCTCCATCTCCTCTGCGGCGGAATGTCCTCCTCCTCCCTGAGGCCTCTCTCTCCCTCTGTCCTCTTTGTGTTCCTCCTCTGTTCCTTCTTCCAGGTCTTTTCTCCCTCTGGATATGCTCAAGAACTAGCCAGCTGGAAAACCAGCTTCGACTTCAAGTCCCTCATGCTGCTGCTGCCTGTCCCTGCTCTGCCTACACCTAGCCTTCCGTTTATTCACCCTCATCCAGACTCCTGCCTCCAGCAGTCCATGAAAGCTAGTCTTGCTGAGTCATCAGTGAATTCCTAGCCGCAGGATCCTGTCATTTCGCCTGTCCTGTCTTCCTTATTTGCTATGATAGGCCATATGTTCTTCATGCCCTTTTCCTTGAGACCTCTTTTCTGTTGGCTTCAGGGTGTTCTTTGCTTCTCTTCCTGCTTCCCCAGCCAGTTCTCCTGCCTTCTCAGCAGGGGGTTTTCTTTTCCTGGTGTGTTAAATGCTGGTAACTTGTAGGGGCTCTGTCCTTCTCTTCATACAAGAGCTGTTATTTTATTGGGTACCTGCTATGTCCCAGTCAACTATGTTACAGTGCTTCACACAAATTATTCCTAATCCTTACAACAACTCTAAAAACATGTTATTTCCTTCTTGTTATTAATAAGGAAATTGAAACTTAATGAGTTACAGTAATTTTCCTACAGTTACACAGTATGTGGCAGAGCTAGGGCTTGAACCTGAGCTTGCTTTAATGTACAGGTAAGGTCAGCTTATAATAATCATCATCATCATCATCTGTGAACCAAAATCTCCCGCCATAGACTTTCCATTTAGCTTGCAGCCTATATGTCCAACTCTCTATTGGACATTTCCACCTGGAATTCTTGGCAGTACTTCATACTCAACTCGTCATCTCTCTCTTACCACCACCCCCCTGCATCCAGCCCCACATTAGTAGCTGGACCTTCTGTCTTGTCATCCAGGCCATGGTCTTGGGTCACCTCAGCTTTGCCTCTCCACCCCTCCATTCCTCAGCTTACAGCTGTCATGACAGCCAGTCATTTCTCCCTCTTACTTTCTCTGGAATTCATCTCTTAGGATGTGCACTGCCACTTCCTTGTTCAGGCTCTTCTCATCTCTCTTGGACTGTTCTCTCTCTTCTCTTTATTTCTGTCCCTTCCACTGTCTTACTCTTCCACTCCATCCTCCACAAGCTACCAGAGTAATCTCTCCAAACCCCAGATCTGATGGTGTTACTGTCTTGGTTAAAACCTTCAATGGCTCCCAGTTCTCATACTAAGGAGTCTTAACTAAGGAGGCCTTGCCTTGTTTTTCTCTCTTCTCCTTCTGTCTCACATGTTGCAGGTGTTCATGGTTCACTGGGCCAGCACTCGTTCAGCTCTCGGGCCGTTCTCGTGCTGTTCCCTTTTCTGTAATAGATGCCTTTTCCAGGTTTGTCTGAGGACCATCTTTTCAGCTCATCCCTTAAAATAAACAGGTAGGCAAAACACATCCTCCACTCAGAGAATGCAGTGCTTGATTACTTGAGGCCCTAACACCCATGTGGGAGACTGGATGGAGTTCCAGGCTCCTGGCTTTGGCCTGGCCCAGCCCTGGTTTGTTATGGGTATTTGAGGAGTTTGTTATGGGAAGTTGGAAAGATCTTCAAACTAGTGGATGGAAGATTTCTCTTTGTCTCTGTTAGCCACTGTGACTTTCAAATAAATAAAAGTAAATTAAAAATAATACCACAACTTGAAGTCTATGCGAATGAGGGGTCTTCAAAAAGTTCATAGAAAATATGTATTATGACAAAAACTACATAGATTTCAAAACTTTTGCACTAAAATGTACTTATATTTTAATTCCATTTTCATCTATTTTTTGAAGTACTCTTATAATGCCAGAGAGTTGACTAAGTATTTAATGAAACCTTAAAGCAAAGTTAAGATTTTATTTGAATACAGGTCATTTTAATATCTGTTACTTTTATTTTTATTTTTTAAGGTTAATTATTTATTTGAAAAGCAGAGTTGGAGAGACAGATTATCTGTCACCTTCATTTGGAATATTCATCTACACACACACATACACATACACACCACACGTTTCTCTTCTCTGTTATTTATTATGTGTTATCCAAGTGTGATTTGATAACAGGAAGGTTTCCTCACTTTGTTGAAGGTTGTTTTCTGTGTTTAGTTTTGTTTTTTTTTTTTTAAGATTTATTTATTTATTTGAAAGGCAGAGTTACAGAGATGCAGAGGCAGAGGGAGAAAGGTCTTCCATCCACTGGTTCGCTCCCCAAATGGTTGCAATGGCCAGAGCTGAGCTGATCCTAAGCCAGGAGCCTGGAGGTTCTTCTGGGTTTCTCACACAGGTGCAGGAGCCCAAGGACTTAGCCCATCTTCCACTGCTTTCCCAGGCCATAGCATTAAGCTGGATCAGAAGTGGAGCAGCTGGGACTCAAACCAGCGCCCATATGGGATGCCGGCAGTGCAGGAGGCGGCTTTACCTGCTACACCAGAGCACCAGCCCCTCTGTGTGTATGCTGAAGTCCCATTTGCATCATCCACATCTGCTGGGAGGTGAACACAGGGGAAGTTAAGCCACAGATAGTTCTTCTTTCCTATCAACAAGGTGTCCTCTGTCTGCCAGGTAAAGCGGTACCAGTGCACCTTCGAGGGCTGTCCTCGCACCTACAGCACAGCAGGCAACCTGCGCACCCACCAGAAGACTCATCGAGGAGAGTACACCTTCGTCTGCAATCAGGAAGGTTGTGGCAAGGCCTTCCTCACCTCTTACAGCCTCAGGATCCATGTGCGGGTACACACGAAGGAGAAGCCATTTGAGTGCGATGTACAGGGCTGCGAGAAGGCGTTCAACACGCTGTACAGGTCAGTCTCCTCTGCTCTGCTCTGACCTTGTGACTGCAAAGCTCTTTTCTGCCTGTGCAGGAGGGAGGTTCACTTTCAGAACTTCAAAGAGCACATCTAAACCCAGCTGTTATAACCCACTGGAGGAGCTTGCTACTTTACGATGCCATATCCTGAGTTGGGTAAAAATGGTAGTGCATGCGAATTTAGATGTGCGTCTCCTGGAGTGACATTCTGGCCTGGGGATGGTAATCAGCATGGAGTGTGCCTCCTCTTGGCTCACAGCTGTTGTACTAAGGCTTCTGTAATTTTTCTCCATACCTTACCCTGAATACAACTCTTTTCTAGCCTGAAAAATAGGGAGTATCCCATTTGGTAGCCTTTTCTCATTTTTCACTCTTGGATTGGGAGATGTATATTAGACTTCGATACTGGGTATAAAACAACAGAAATATTGGCTTAAAAAGCACTCATTGTGTACTGTGCAATTTTCTAGGTGCTGATCCTCCCAACAGCTGATACGTGAACAGAAGCACAAAGAGGTGCTGTCGCTGGCTCGGATCCTCCAGCCTGGAGATTGTGGGGCCAGGATTTCAATCCCAGGCAGTCTATCTCTAGAGTCACATTCATACCACTGTGCTGTTTACTTCTCCTAATTTTCTCTTTTGACAAAAAAGTTTGGGTACTAACACATTACAGGTGTAGAAAATTCTTCGGTACTTGAACCTGAAGCACACTCAGCTGGCCTGGAGTGGTTCTGCAGGGCATTGTGACAAAGGGAATGTCTCTGGGGTGTTTTGCAGGCTGAAAGCACATCAGAGGCTTCACACAGGGAAAACGTTTAACTGTGAATCTGAAGGCTGCAGCAAGTACTTCACCACACTCAGTGATCTGAGGAAGCACATTCGAACCCATACAGGAGAAAAGCCATTTCGGTAGGTTTTACTGGTTTCTGCTTGTCGCTAGCCAGGTTTCAGCTGAGTATCTTGATATGCTCTAGAAATTTTTCAAAGGAGACAGAAAACTCACTTGACGAGTCCTGTCTTTGGTAGTGTTGACTCACCCAGGATGCCTGCGCCTACTACAAAGGAATGCAGATTCCATGGACATCTGTAGATTTTGCTTCATTTTTTTTTCTGTTTTAAACATTTGTTGATATGTACTTAGGTAGTAGGTCCTTTTATTAGTACTAGAGAAATACCAACAGGCAAGTTAAAAGCTTACTCTGATGGAAAAGAACTCCAAGTTCACAGAAGTTTTTGAGGCTGTGAGATGCTCCAAGTGCATTAAGCACAGAGGAAGGACACCTACCTTAAAACCAAGGTGTGGACAAGAGGGAGATGAGCTGTGGGAATGTTTAGGTTAGTGGTGCAGATATTGTATTTTGTTATCTGTTCATTTGTTGCTTTGTAATATGTCATGTATATATATATAGATAGATACACATACAAGATCACCCTTTTTTTTTTTTTTTTGACAGGCAGAGTGGACAGTGAGAGAGAGAGACAGAGAGAAAAGTCTTCCTTTGCCATTGGTTCACCCAGGCTGGTGTGCTGCGGCCGGCGCACCGCGCTGATCTGATGGCAGGAGCCAGGTACTTCTCCTGGTCTCCCATGAGGTGCAGGGCCCAAGCACCTGGGCCATCCTCCACTGCACTCCCTGGCCACAGCAGAGAGCTGGCCTGGAAGAGGGGCAACCGGGACAGAATCCGGCGCCCCGACCGGGACTAGAACCCGGTGTGCCGGCCCGCAAGGCGGAGGATTAGCCTAGTGAGCCACAAAACCGGCCTAGAAAAGCTTTCTATTTAAAAAAATAAGAGTTTATAAGAAAATAACATTCATATGTAATTACTGACTGTCTGCTGTGTGCAAGGAGCACAGCAAACGTGACTAGCTACATGGACTCTGCCCTCCAAGAGTTGGCAGTCTGGGAGGAGAGGTGACAGATAAATAAGATTCAAAGGAGAGATGCCATAAAGGAGACCTGAAGATAATAAATGTCTTAGTAGTCCTGAGGACAGGAGGATCACGTGTAGCTTGGTTATCAAGAAAGCAAGAGAAAAAGGTATAACTGAAGATTGTAGTCATTACAGTTTATCTGTTCTAATTTTAATCTAATGTTACATTTCAACCTCATGCATATATAAGGGACTCTTTACCCTCTCTTTATAGTCCCAGTGTTTTACTAGTAGTAGATTTTCCATATGGACTATTGCTGTCAGTGGAGTTCTGTTCAGAAAGTTTTTGGTGACAGGGCCCTCAGCCTGTGCTTTACCTTTCTCCTATTAGGCAAGAAGTGCTTGTCCTGGGCTCTTGGCTCCCTCTACTTGCAGCTGTGCCACCTTCCTTTACCCAGGACTTACCCTTCTCACACCTCTAAAACCAGAGACACTGATCTGGTCTTAGTGTCCTCAACAATCTTTTTTTTTTTAAGATTTATGGTTCAAGATGATGCTCCACTTTTTTTTTTTTTTTTTTAATTTATTTAAAAGAGTAACAGAGAGAGGTCTTCCATGCACTGGTTTACTCTCCAAATGGCTGCAACGGCCGGAGCTGAGCCTATCCAAAGTCAGGAGCCAGGAGCTTCTTCTGGATCTCCTTCATGGGCCAAAGACTTAGGCCATCTTCTACTGCTTTCCCAAGCCTTAGCAGAGAGCTGGATCAGAAGAGGAGCACCCGGGACTAAAACCAGCGCCCATATGGGATGCCGGCGCTTCAGGTTGGGGCTTTAACCTGCTGCTTCATAGCACTGGCCCCTGCTCCACTTCTGATTCAGTTCCCTGCTAATGTGCCTGGGAAAGCAGAAGATGGCCCAAGTGCTTGGGCCCCTGCATGCATATGGGAGAACAGGAAGAAGCTCTGGGCTCCTGGCTTTGGTCTGGCCCAGCCCTAGCCATTCCAGCCATTTGGGAAGTGAACCAGCAAATGGAAGATATCTCCCTCCCTCCCTCCTTTCCTCCTTCTCTCCGTCTCTCTCTCTCTCTTCTTTCTCTCTCTTCCCCTCTTTCTGTAACTCTGCCTCCCCCTCTCCCCCTTTTTTTAAAGATGTATTTATTTATTTGAAAGGCAGAATTACAGAGGGAGGAGAGAGATCTCCATCCACAGGTCTACTCCTCAGTTAGCTGTACGGCTGGAGCTGGGCTGATCCAAAGCCAGGAGCCAGGAGCTTCCTCCGGGTCTCTCATGTGGATGCTGGGGCCCAAACTCTTGGGCCATCCTCCGCTGCTTTCCCAGGTGCATTAGCAGGGGGCTGGATTGGAAGTGGAGCAGCCAGGACTTGGACTGGCACTCACATGGGATCCAGAACCACAGGTGGCGTATCACCCACTACACCATAGCATCAGCCTCCTATAACTCTCCCTTTCAAATAAATAAAAATAAATACTTAAAAAATAAAATAGAACAAAATAAAATAGATTTCTTTATTTGAAAGGCAGAGTTGGGGCCGGCACCGTGGCTCACTTGGTTAATCCTCTGCCTGCGGCGCTGGCATCCTATATGGGTGCCGGGTTCTGGTCCCGGTTGCTCCTCTTCCATCCAGCTCTCTGCTGTGGCCCGGGAAGGCAGAGGAGGATGGCCCAGGTGCTTGGGCCCTGCCACCCGCATGGGAGACCAGGAGAAAGCACCTGGCGCCTCGCTTCGGATCAGCATACCAGCCATGGTGGCCATTTTGGGAGTGAACCAATGGAAGGAAGACCTTTCTCTCTCTGTCTGTCTGTCTCTCTCTCTCTCTCTCTCTCTCACACACTCACTGTCTAACTCTGCCTGTCAAATAAATAAATAAATAAATAAATAGAAAGGCAGGGTTACAGAGAGGGAGAGTGAACCATCTTCTAGTTTACTCCCCAAATGACAGTAGTGACCAGGGCTGGGCCAGGCTGTAAGCAGGAGCCTGGAAGTACATCCCAGGCTTCCATGAACTTTGGCCATCATCTGCTGCCTTCTCAGGTACATTAAAAGGGAGCTGAATCGGAAGTAGAGCAAACAGGACTTGAACCACAGTGCTCATAAGGGATGATGGCCCATATGAGCCATCATATTGGCAGCTTAACCCACTGTGCCACAGCCAGCCCCAGTGTCCTAAACATGTGTTTTAGTTTGTGTTTGGTGATGTTAAGGATGAAGGTCTGTTAACTAGTAACTCCTGTTTCACTTTGCTTCAACAACTTATTTAGGTGTGATCATGATGGCTGTGGAAAAGCATTTGCAGCAAGCCACCACCTAAAAACTCACGTCCGTACACATACTGGTGAGTGCAGGCTAACTCTTTTTCACCCTAACCTTCATCGCGTCTGTAACTGTGTTTCTGTTGAGACCTGTAGAGCTGTGTGGAGAGAGTGAGCCTTATCGGCATAGGCGTCAGCTATAATGTTTGAGTTTCTTTCAGAAGTGAAAAAAATCTAAAGGTTGGATTTAGGAATCCAGTCTTCAGGAATGACGCCAGTACAGAGAAGACTCTAAGGAAGCACCTGTGAAGAAATTAATCTTCTCTCTAAACTTCCCAGGAGCGGGCCAGTCCCCGTGCTTTGCTCCATGTTAACTTTTAGGTCTGAAATGATTAATAGGTCATTTATTCAACTTTTTAACATCTGTTACTCAAATACTCATAAGAACATTTACTTCTCTCTGTTAGGGAAAGGTAGATTTTTTAATCCAGTACAATGACTTTATGATAAAATTAACCTCCTTTGTCATTCTTGCAGGTGAAAGACCCTTCTTCTGCCCCAGTAATGGCTGTGAGAAAACATTCAGCACTCAGTACAGTCTCAAAAGTCACATGAAAGGTCATGATAACAAAGGACACTCATGCAATGCACTTCCACAACACAATGGATCAGAGGTGTGCAGTGTTCTTGTCTCTTGTTTTGATCTGGGCACCACAGAAGAACAATTGTTTGTGCATAGCAATAAAAGGTTAAAATGTCTTCTCTTTATGTTTGTTAGTGAGAAGGAAGAAATCGGGGTCAAGATCTATGTTTTTGCTTTGGGGTGGTAGAAGCAAGAAATTCCACCAGGCCCCCTGTGCTTAGTGTGTTTCACCTCCACCTCATTCCATCAGGTGCTCCTGAACCCAGAGGTCTCAGAATGGCTTTCACAGGGTTAGCCAGAATCTCTTAAGATACTGTTATGTTCTTATTCATAACTGTGAAGTGCCAAAGCCATACATGAGTTGGAATGCAAATTACTATTGCTTCACACAGCGATGAACCCATCCTTGGAGATCCAGGAAGTCTGGAGGGTCCCTTGCCCTTTTGATCTGTCTACATACCAGAAAGTTTGAGAGTCACTGGCTTACGACTCTGAACCACAGAACATGCCTCTGTAGTTTTAGGCAGTGTTGCTTTTTTTTTTCTTTTGTTCTTTACCAAGCCCCTTGTCCATATTCTTCCAGTCCCACCCCTCAGCTCCATTCCAGAGAGACCTTGGGATAAATTTACTGATACTACTTTTTTTTTTTTTTTTTAAGATTTATTTACTTATTTGAAAGGCAGAGTTACAGAGAGAGAAGGGGAGACAGAGAAAGAGAGATCTTCCATCCACTGGTTCATTCCACAAATGGCCACAATGACCAGGGCTGGGCCAGGCTGAAGCCAAGAGCCAGGAGCTTCTTCTAGTTCTCCCACATGGGTGCGTGGTCCCAGCAACTTGAGCCATCTTCTGCTGCCTTCCCAGAAACATTAGCAGGGAGCTGGATCAGAAATGGAGCAGCTGGGACTCAAACAGGCAGGTGCCCATATGGGATGCCAGCACTGCAGGGGGTGGCCCAACCTACTACACTACAGCACTGGCCCCTGCTGTTACTAGTATTTTTTTTTTTTTTAAGATTTATTTATTTATTTGAAAGGCAGAGTTACAGAGAAGTAAAGGTATAAAGAGAGGTCTTCCATCTGCTGGTTCACTCCCCAGATGGCCATAATGGCCAGAGCTGTGCCAATCCAAAGCCAGGAGCTTCTTCCAGGACTCCCACATGGGTGCAGGGGCCCAAGGTCTTGGGCCATCTTCTACTGCTTTCCCAGGCCACAGCAGAGAGCTGGATCAGAAGTGGAGTAGCCGGGACTTGAACCAGTGCCCATATGGGATGCCGGCACTGCAGGCTGTGGCTTTACCTGCTATACCACAGCGCTGGCCCCTGTTACTAGTTTTAATGTGATGTCTTTCAAACCCAGAAATTGAGTACCTTTATTATCTTACTATTTTATAGATAAAGTCTTTCAGCTCTTCCTTGACAATTTATTTAGAATTTGATCACTTCTTCTGGTTGCTTCATTCAATCCACTATAGTTTTTTTGCATGGATTATTGTAATAAACTACTAAGTGGGCTTCCTGGCACCTTGTCCTATCTTCACAACCACAACCACACTGTACCAGCCCATGTTCCTTGGATTTCTGATCATTTTTTTTAAAGATTTTTATTTATTTATTTGCAAGGTGAAGTTATAGACAGTGAGAAGGAGAGACAGAGAGAAGTGTCCTCCATCTGCTGATTCATTCCCCAAATGGCTGCAATGGCCAGAGCTGCACCAATCCAAGCCAGGAGCCAGGAGATTCTTCTGGATCTCCCACATGGGTGCAGGGGCCCAAGCACCTGGGCCATCTTCTGCAGCTTTCCCAGGCCATAGCAGAGAGCTGGATTGGAAGAGGAACAGCCAGGACTCAAACGGGTGCCATTTGGGATGCTGGCGCCACAGGCTGAGATTTAACCCAGTGCACCATAGTGCCGCCCCGATCACTCTCCAGTGGAGAGAATCTCCTCTCATCACAAACTTGATCTGTACTGCTTGAACTGTCTTGCTGCTGTGCCCTCACATTGGTGTCTATAGCCTGGTCTCTCCCTGAACTTTAGAATTGCATGTTCACTATCCCCATTTTGAATGATCAGGTTCTTAAAGAACATAGAATAATTTTTGATTTTTGAAGATTCAATGGACTCTAATTCTGTGGCTACTAATTAAACAATAGAGGGCCACTTTAAAAGGACTTCTCTCAGGGCCAGCACTGTGGTATAGCGGGTGAAACGTCTGCGTGCAGTGCCCATTCCCCATATGGGTGCCAATTCAAGACCCAGCTGCTCCACTTCCAATCCAACTCCCTGCTAATGTACCTGGGAAAGCAGCGGAGGATGGCCCAAGTTCTTAGGCCCCTGCACCCACGTGAGAGACCCAAAAGAAGCTCCTGGCTTCAGTGTGTCCCAGCACTGACTGTAGTGGCCATTTGGGAGTGAACCAGTGGATGGAAGATCTCTTTCTCTCTCTCTCTCTCTGAAATTTTGCTTTTCAAATAAATAAAAAATATTTTTTCAAAAAGGACCCTCTCCTCTCCAGTTTTATTAGTAATAACTACCATTTATTGAGTGTTGAATATGGGCCTGGCACTGTGCTGAGTGCTTTTATATGGGTTGTCCTGCTCAGAAGAACTCCAGAAGTCAGTACTACTAGTATCCTTCCCATTACGGACAAAGATAACAGAGGGAAAGAGAAATTAAATAACTTGCTTAGGTATCCAGAACTTAACAGTTATTCTAATTTAGGCACATAGTCTGATTCTAGACTCCAGTTCTTTCGTTGGTGTCATAAAAGACAAAATAACGTTATTTGTAAGAACAGGCTGTGGGCTACAGCTGCCTGAGTTCAAATCCAAGCTCCCTTGCAGAACACATGACCTTAGGCAAGTGACTTCTTTGTGGCTCAGTTTAAATGTATTAAAATTTGAGAGAAATGTTCTGCTAAGCTTCATTTATGAAATCGTAGTCAGTTTTCTCATTTTTATAAAAATCCAAGGATAATTTAGCTGCCAGCATTAGAGTACCCCAGTGCCCAGTCCTCAGACCTCACCTCTGGTCTTTGCCCATTCTCCAGCAGATGGAAATGTCTTTTAGTCTTGAGCTCTACAAGCCATCGTTTTTCCTTTGCGTCCCATGGTGGTACCTCCATCCTGGGCCTCTCCCTGAACTCCAGTCTTGGCATATGCAGCCACCTACTCCACATCTCCACCCAGATACCATCTGCTCATCTCAGCTAACATGTCCAGACCTGTTTCTCCTACAGTCTTCCCATCTTAGTGAAGAGCAACTCTGTTTTTCTCATGACAGAAGCCATCTAATGCAGCTGTAGGAAATCTTTTTTTCTGCCAAGAGCCATTTGGATATTTATCATTCGTGGGCCATGCAACGTTTTTAACTTAAAACTTAGCCTGCTATAGCTTTATTGAATTTCAAGTCCTGCCTGCAATTGCTTTTTTTTTTTTTTTGGACAGGCAGAGTGGACAGTGAGAGAGAGAGAGACAGAGAGAAAGGTCTTCCTTTGCCGTTGGTTCACCCTCCAATAGCCACCACGGCTGGTGCGCTGCAGCCAGCGCATCGCACTGATCCGAAGCCAGGAGCCAGGTGCTTCTCCTGGTCTCCCATGCGGGTGCAGGGCCCAAGCACTTGGGCCATCCTCCACTGCACTCCCGGGCCATAGCAGAGAGCTGGCCTGGAAGAGGGGCAACCGGGACAGAATCCGGCGCCCTGACCGGGACTAGAACCTGGTGTGCCGGTGCCGCAAGGTGGAGGATTAGCCTAGTGAGCCGTGGCGCTGGCCCATTGCTTTAACAGGGACAAAGCAAATGCTTTCTCAGGCCTCATGTGGCCTGTGGGCCAGATATTCCCCACCCCTGAATGAAAGAGAAACTCCTACCCAGCATTCCTTGTTCCTCTTATTTCATAGCACTTACCATCTTGCATACTGTGCATATATTTGTTTCTGTTTCTACTAGAATGTAAGCTGTGTAGAGGTAGGAACTCTGTTTTGTATATTATTGCATCCCTGGACCTGAAATGGTACCTAATACATAGTAGACGCTCGATGAATATGGAAGTCCCTCTTTATCGGAAAGGAAATGGTCCAGACCCCCAGTGGACGCCTAAAACTCCAGGAGTACTGAACCCTGTGTTTACTGTGCTGTTCTGTTTTCATACTTGTGATAAAGTTTGCTTTTTAATTTAGGCACAGTAGGTTCATGTGAATAGCCAGTGAATCATGTGAAATCACTTGTTCAACGATGACACTGATTATACAATTAATTTCATATCCTCATAGCTTTTGTTACTCTTGGGCGTGAGTCATTACATAGTCTTATCTTTATTTATTTATTTGAAAGTCAGAATTAGAGAGAGGGGGAGAAACAGGGAGATCTTCCATTTACTGGTTCACTCCCCAAATGGCTATCATAGCTAGGGCTAGGCCAGGCTGAAGCCAGGAGCTTCATCTGGGTCTCCCATGTGGATGCAGGGGCCCAAGTACTTGAGCTGTCTTCCGCAGCTTTCCCAGGTGCATTAGCAGGGAGCTGGATTGGAAATAGAGCAGCTGGGACTCAAACCAACACCCATATGGGATGCTGGTTATCCGTGAGAGGTTCTTCTAAGAATATGGAGATTTTAAAAAATGAAATAATGTTCTTAACCCTGTTTTGGATGATTCATTCCATCCAGGTGACATCTAAACATTTGGAACCTGATCATCTAAATATTTGCATTATTATTACATGTTATGCTACTGTAAATCCTGATTTTGTCATTTAATTAGAATTTTGTTTTCTCTTACAGGATACAAATCACTCACTTCATCTGAATGCCTTGAGCCTTCTGTCCGCAGAAGATAAAATTTTGGGAGAAAATTCCAGTAGAGTAAGTACACATTAAGATATGGATGCTTGGAAGATAGATTCAGGAATTGAGAACTTCCCTTTGGCAGTTAAATTGAAGAAGACCAGTCTTTTTGAAGTCTTCTAGTTTTTATTATTTAACCCCTGACCATTTAATATTTATTTCCTTCTCCTGAGAGGAGTTCTTGACCAGAAGAGGTTGTTCTCTCTGATGCCTAAAGCGTTTTGGCCCACATTACTCACTGGATAACCTTCTGACCCTAGAAACTCTTTTTTTATTCACTTGACAAATATTTATTGAGTGATTGCTTCATCATGCACTGTGCCAGTGCTGGGCTCATTGTGGTAGTAGGTATGGTTTGCCCTTGAGGAACTTAAAGTCTAGCACTGTAAGATGAGGGCAGAATTTCAGTTTCTGCACTTACTCAGACCCTGCTGTTGGACCAGGTCTAGTCTTTTTCCCTCTTAAACTCGCCCCACTGAGTTTTGGAAGGGAAGCTCCTGTACAGGCCTCCACTGGAAGACAGAGACATTCTGTCTTACCTGATTGCTTGCTTCATGCTGATTAAGCTTTCCTGCCATTCCTGTTGCTCTGGGATGGTAGTTATAGAACCCTGTGTTGAGTCAGAGCTTGTATAAGTTCCTTCCCGAGAATCTGAGCCTTCTCCTGTGATGCTAACACTGATTTTGAGTCTGGATGTTTTTGTCCCTTTTTTGTAAATAAATACAGCTTATGCTAGATTTTCTGTGACTATATACATAATGAATAAGTGTAATGGGAAGGTTTAGGAGTACTTTGAAAAATTTATGGAAAATTGAATTAAAAGTTTATTTTGGTGCAGAAAAGTTGAGATTCATGCATAGTTTCCTCATAATATGCATTTTCCATGAATCTTTTTATTTTAAATATTTATTATTTGAGAGGCAGAGTTAGAGGGAGAGATCTTCCATCTGTTGGTTCACTCCTGAAATATCCACAGTGGCTAGGAGCCCAGAACTCTATCCAGGTCTTCCATGTGGTAGGCAGGAGCGCAATCAGTTAGGCTGATATAAGTTGCCTTCCCTGGGGCATTAACAGGGAGCTAGATCAGACGCCAAGCAGCCAGGACTCAAACCAGCCCTCATATGGGCTGCTGGCATTGCAAGGTACTGCTTCACCCCCTGCACCACAGTGCTGCCCCTTCCATGAGTCTTCTAAAGATTGCATATTTGAGGACAGCCTGCATGAGTCAGGTGGAAATGTTCCATGCCCACTGAGTCAGTATGTCTAGCAATAGTGTCTAAAAGTGCATTTTAAAATGTATTTATTCAAAAGACATATCATTCATATACTGGTTCACTCCCCAAATGCCTGTAACAGCTGTGGCTGGGCCAGGCCAAAGCCAGGAGTCTGGGACTCAATCCAGGTTCCCCACATGGGTGGCAGAGACTCAAGTACTTAAGTCATCATGCTACCTACCTCCCAGGGTGTGTGTTGGCAGGAAGCTGGATTGAAAGTGGAACAAAGGGGCCATTGCTGTGGCGTAGTGGGTAAAGCTGACGCCAGCAGTGCAGGCATCCCATATGGGTGCCAGTTTGAATCCCAGCTGTTCCACTTCTGATTCAGCTCTCTGATATGGCCTGGGAAAGCAGTGGAAGATGACCCAAGTCCTTGGGCTTCTGCACCCATGTGGGAAAACTGGAAGAAGCTCCAGAACTGGTTCTTGGCTTCATGTTGGCCATTGCGGCCATCTGGGGAGTGAACCAGCGGATGGAAGACCTCTCTCTCTGCCTTTCAAATAAATAAATAAATCTTTTTTTTTTTTTAAGGAAATGAATCAAGGACTCAAACCTAGTTACTCTAATATGGGATGCAGGTGTTCCAAGTGGGAACTTAACTACTGTACCAAATATCCACCCCAGAAGTGCACTCTCAGAGAAGTGCCCCAAGACCTGGATTGTCCTCTAATGGTGGAGTTGCTCTTATGAGAGCAACCCTCCCATGGAAAACAGCTATAAATGCTGGATTACATATAAAGCACAACTATGTGTTGTGTATCCTATGGGACACTGGTTAGTCACCCACAGAAAGCAGAGGTAACCTGGAGGAGTGGGCTTTGTGGCACAGTGGGTTGAGCCGCTGCTTGAGACACCAACATCACGTACTGGAGTGCTAGTTTGAGTCTACACTGCTCCACTTTGATCCAGTTTCCTGCTGATAAGCCTAGGAAGCAGCAGATGATGACTCAAGTACTTGAGTTCCTGCCACTTGGGAGACCCGGATGGAGTTCCTCACTTGTAGCTTCAGCCTGCACTAGCACTGACTATTGAAACCATTTATGAGTAAATGAGTGGATGGAAGATATCATTCTCTCTTCCCTCCCCCTCCCTCCTTCCCTCCCTCTGTCCTTTCAAATAAGTAAGTAAGTAGCAAATAGTTTTTTTTTTTTTACTTTTATTTAATGAATATAAATTTCCAGAGTACAGCTTGTGGATTACAGTGGCTTCCCACCCCCCCCATAACTTCCCTCCCACCCGCAACCCTCCCCCTCCCACTCCCTCTCCC